TCTATCTATCTATCTATCTATCTATCTATCTATCTATCTATCTATCTTTGGCTTAGAGCACTGGGCTTTGCTTCAACCAAGCTCATTCAGCGTAGATCCAGAGGGCAGTGATAAGCAAACAGGAGCCAAACTAAGGCTCTAGGCTTAGGTCTGCTGATTTCCAGAAAAGTGACATCCCTTAGCTGGTGTTACTTATCTTCAAAAGTCCAAGTACTCAGTGCAGCTTCAGCACTGCTGCTGAGCACGGACTGCACACTAGTCCTTGTGCTAATTCTACACAGACATTCTTGTTCATTCTATAATGACAGCCACCTATGAGTGAATGTTATCTTCATAATTCTTTTTGACATGGGAAACGAAGGATGAGGTTGCCAGATATCGTGCACCCAGCAAATACAGAGCTAGGACAGCCAAATTTCTGTCTTGAAAGGGGATGATGAGCTTGATTTTTTTCCAGCACTGTCTGTGAGACTCATGTATAAACAAGGGGCCATTTTCTTGTGTTGGAAGACAGAAACGAACCCCCTGCCACCTCCAGGCAGCTAACTAGGAGCATCATATATTACTCCAACTCCCCTTCATCCTGCTCTCCTATGTGGGCTCACCCTGGCAAAAGGCAAGATGCCACCCAGGGTCATGGGAGGGATAAGGAGGAAGTATGTTCTTTTCTTTACCCCATTCCAGACTGAACCCCATGCCCTGGCCATGGTGGGAGGCAGAGCCTCACCAAGTCTGCACTGACAGTGCCTCCTTCCTTCTTCCTGACCTGCCCCCAGCAGGAAGTCCCTAGGTACCTGGGAAGACTATGAAAGCAGCTGGTTTGTCCAAGCAGAGCAGAAATAGATCCCTGACCACCCTCTTTAACAAAGACAGTAGGCGGGTTCCCCTATTAGAGGCCCAGAGGGTCACCAGGAGCATTTAGGTATCAGGTCTTGGCATGGCTGGCATGAGCTAGTAAAAAATAAGTGGCTGAGGAAACACCCTAGGTCTCCATGATAAGAAGATAGACATCCTTGGGGTCTCGACACCCCAGCCAGGAGCCATTCTTCTGCTTCAAACTGTATCTTACCAAGGAATGAAAATGGGTAGGCTTATATTTGTGGCCATCTAGATAGATTTAAAAGAAGATAAATGATGTTTTATCTATAGCCTCATAAGAACCTGTGGCTTTAAATACTTATGTGTCTCTTGCATTCAGAAAGGTAAGCATCAGTGATGGACTGCTTGGCCTTGAAATGAGAATTAGACTTTCAGCCTGTAGTTGTTTGCGTATATATGTATGTGTACACACACAGAGACACACACGTCACAGACTTTTGGCTGTCTTTGTTTTTGACAGTGCTGGGATGGAACACAGGGCATGTACGTGCTAGCTAGGCAAGTACCCTACCACTGAGCTCTCCTTCCATTCCTACTCGTATTTTAAACCGAATTCTCCTTTGTCTGGCCTGTTTACTCAACAAATGTGGTTTGAAGCCTGCATTATTTGCCTGCAGATGATGGCTGGCACGTGAGATCAGGCCAGTGTTTACTTCCAAGGGCACTGTGAGTGTTGCATGTGCGTGCCGACCTCCTTTCACTCCTGCTGTGAGGTTCTTCCCACTCAAGGCTCTTACTGCATTGCTCCCCAGGCTGAGTGAGGTGGGTACAAGGGTAAGCTGCCTGCCTACTTGGGTAGCTAGTGGAGCTGGGAAGATCTTAGAGTGTGTGGTGGGGCAGGGGTGGGAATGGGTGTCCCTTCTTCAAGGTCTATCACCCACACCTATGACTTAACTCCCATCCATCTGACCCTCCTCACAGTCAGGCCAAAGACCTTCACTTCAAGGCTCCTGAGTGACCCTTTATCCCAGGTTCATCAGAGCCAGAAACAGAAGAGTGCCAGGAATAGCAGAGAGAATAAAATACAAATGAATGGAAAAATCAAGACCATTTCCTTGGTCCTGCTTACCCGCTAAGAACACCGAGAACCAAGTTAAGTACAAAAAATGACCCTATGATGATTAGTGTAACAAAATAGATCCAAGGCCAGTCCCTTCCTACGGCATCATTGACCTGGAAGAATGGAATGATAGTTAGTCAGGCACACACAGCAACCGAGCACGGCCAAGCGCCAGCCACCGGCTCCCCAACGCTGAGCTGAGCAGCGTGGGACCCGGGATCCTCATGGTGCAGCTCAGGCTAAACTGCCTGGGCAGCCAATGGTCAGAATCTGTGCTTGCATGGAATTTTTTTTTCCCCATTTTCCTGGGCCTGTTAGGGTCTTGTCTCTGAGGATTGTGCATTGAACGCAGTGGAACCTGGGACCTTGCTCGGCTGCATGGTAAAGAGGACACAGAAATGGTCAGCTTACCCGCTCAAAACACCGAGAACCAGATTTAGAACGAAAAAGGATCCAAAGATGACCAGACTGACAAAATACACCCAGGGCAACTCATAGCCCATAGCGTCTTGCATCTGGAAAGATGAAGGAGAGTTAGGACAGAACAAGCAAAGTGGAGGGCAAGACAGACAGGTAGGGAGTGCGAACAGATCCACAGGAGGCAAAGGGGCTGGTTTTGGTTAAGTGGATCAGAAGCTGCCTCCATCTTGGGCTTCATCCCTACTCAAAATCCTTCTCAAAAACCTTGACCCAAGCTATCAGGGCCAACGCAGAGTCTCTGGGGTTTGGGTGGGAGATCTTGTCTAACTCTTCCTGCTGTTTTATTTTCTGGAAAAGAAATAGTTCCCTAGTGTTTTTCCTACTCATTTGTCTAGAAAGGTGGATCACCTCACAAAACATTTGTCTATTTTATTTTTTGTTTGTTTGGTTTCCATCCTGGAGTGGGCTTAGCTCATTTGGTGCATTTGTGGCCATTAAATCTTAAGATATACCCTGAGTCGGGCTGATCTTGGGTTGTGAAAAGGGCCAGCCATACTGACAGGGCTGGAGACTGAAGCGTACATCACATGAGAAAGTGGTCTTCCTTCCTGGAGTCTGGGCGGTAGAGAGCTTGACCTCAGTGCGTCACAAGCAAATGGGCGAGGAAAGGTGGTACTCCCCCTGCCTTGTGTGTCAGAGAAGGCCTTGTCCCTGACACCACAGCCTAGATGGAAGAGGCCCTGAGCTTGCTGGTGGACTGGCGGGGACACTCTGTAGCAAGCCACAGGCCCCTGCAGGAACTGGAGGCAACAGGAGCCAAAACTGGCCCCACTGGGCTGTGAGTGCTTGCTGCGAGCATCTTGTGAGGAATTCCTGTCCACTGACTCCCATCCTCCCCCTACTGCTCCTGGAAGTGGTTGTCAGACAACCCCTACACTTCCGGCAGGCAGGGGTGTGAAGACAGGTCCCAGGACAGTGTTTCTATCAAGAAGGAAACACGTTCCGATCCAGCGCCTCAAATCCTTTCTTCTGATGTTTTCCAAGCATTAAACACACGTTACCTCTGGTTTACTAAAAATGAGCCCCAAGGTTGTCTTTGGTGAACCAAGCTGATGAAATTCTAGATTCCTGGGCTACCAGCTTTCTGACTGACTCCCGTTGGCCATCCTCAAAGTGTGGCTTCAGGCACCGACACCATTAGGTGCTCACATTTAGAAATGCCACACTGTATCTCACCCCGGAGCTCTGGGGGTGGTTCCATCAACCCGCTTCTACAAGCACCACAGGTTGGCTGGATGTGGGGGTACATGGCAGAGCTTGTGGACCCTTGATCTGTATCATTGTCTAAATGCTGCTCCGAATGGCTGTCTGTCTGTCTTATAGTTAGAAACAGTGTGTAAAACTCGAGTTCAAGCTTGCTGGCTTGAACTGGGTCGGTGAGGAAGAGCTACCCACCTAGGTCCACGCTGCAATGCCATTCAGTTTGAGAGTTTGTCGAACATCCCCAACCCCATGCCCCTTTGTCTATTCTTCCATGGCATTTATCGCTTTATGATTGTGCGGGTTCCCTACCTGTCACCTTAGGAGCAGGAAGTAGAGAAGACTGCTGGGTGAGGCTGAGGAAGCAAGGGCCATATGAGACAGGGCTGTGTGGACTTTGCACACTAGAGTCACTGACAGCAGAGGGCGCTATGGAGCAGGAAGAAAGTCCAGGGTCCAAATAGCCCTGCGGTAGCAGTAGGTTTTTTGTTTGTTTTCTACCAAAGACTTGACCATTGTTAGAACCATGTAGACCACTGTAAAGCCTTCCTGGCCATAGAACAGGAGGGAAGGGAAGAGTGGAATACCCAGCCAAGCAGCAGTGGTTAGCGGAGGTAGGACAGTCAGTCTTTATGCCTTTATGCGGATTCTGTTCCCAGGGCCCTTCCTTGACCAGGAGGAATCTGCTGAGCCAAGAGTGCAAAGGAAACCAGGTACAACTGGAAGTTCAGCATGTCTTCACGCCGGGAGGAGGAAAGCAAAAGCAGCAAGCACAGCCAGAGTGCTAGAGGGGACTCTAGGAAGACCCGGGCCTCAGGCCATGAACATCTTTCCGGCTTTCCTCCTTCAATTACTGGTTAATGGGGATCAGAAGCGGGGCTGCTGCTTTTCCTCTAAGCCAGTGGCTCTCAACCTGTGGGTCACAACCCCTTTGGGGATTGAACAGCCCCTTTCACAGGGGTTGCCTAACAGCACGTGAAAACACGTGGTTTTACATTACAATTCATGACAGCGGCAAAGTTATGGTTATGAAGTAGCAATGGAAATGATTTCACCGTAACACCAGGAACTGTGTTAAAGGGTCGCAGCATTAGGAAGGCTGAGAAGCACTGCTCTGAGCGCTTCTGTGGTGTGTAGGGAGAGCGGGGAGAGCCGGGGAAAACTGGTGAGGATGACAGACTGTAACCAGCAAACAGGCAGACAGAAAGAACTCTGGGCACTATCCAGGAGCGTGTCCCCCCACCCCCTCCCCGAAGCCCACACCCAGCTTCGGTGTCACCAACCTACTCTAATAACTTTTCTGACTTGGTCTATGTCAACCCCAAAGGACAGAAGGTAACCTGGGCTGTTGTGAGCAGTGTGCCTTTACTTGTCCCCTGGGAAGGTATGGGCAGCGGCTCCAGCAGGTGCTGACATGCTCTCCCCAGCTGGGTCTCACAGAGCAGAGTTGCCTCCAGACTCCAGACAGGGAGTTGCAGGCAGGGCTAGTAGCCTCCTCTACCTTCCTTTGAATGGATTCCTTCCCCCCAAACAGTCCTCCAGGCCACACAAGTCCTTTGGCCTTAAAGGTACTTTGAGGTTCTTGAGTAGCCTGGGGGTCTTTTCCTCTGGGTCACACAAGCTTAGCTTCATCAACGACTACAGTGGCTAGAGCTAGAGATCTGAAGAGGGTGGTCTACAGGAAGCCAGGGACATAAAGAGGAAACTCAGGGTTTCCACACCTCATTCCTTATCTCTGCTTTGACCCCTTCCTTGACTCCATAGGTGTTTTAGGGGTTCAAGGCAGGTGAGAGGTTGGAAGCATTTCTTGGGAGTCTTAGCCCACCATGCCTGAGCAGACAGCCATCTGAGGGAGATTCTTCAGTCTGCAAAGAAAGTACCCCTTTGTTGTTCCCTCTTCTTCTAAGCCACCTGTTCTCTGGGCAGACTGAGTGGAGAGCACAGAGTGGTGGCGGCCTCTTTTAGCAGGGCGATGCTGGAGTGGTGAGACTTCTATCTCCACTCTGGGGGACAGATCTACTCAGCAGAATAGAAGAATAATAAAGCCTCATCAGGAAGGGACCCAGCTTGCTGTCAACCTCGTGCCCTAAGTCAGCAGCGTTGAGGACCCCAGACCTGAAACTATGTTGGATCTTCCTTTTTTTCTGAAACAAACACAGAGCCTTCCTATTTAACCAACACTGAACAAAGGGAATAATAAAAAGAAAAATACCAAAGACATTTCCAAAAGTAGCATGTAACTGGGTAAAAGGGTCCCTGCCTTGTACCTTCAAATCCACCACTAACTCTTTCTCAGGGAATGGGGAGGGGGGGGGGTGTCATATTTCCACCATGACCTTCCCAAGGCCTCTCTGATCCAGGCTGATGTCCATGGATCTTCACACTATGTGTACCCTCTCTTTCTCATCACAAGATCTGTGGATCTAGAGACTAGATGGTTTCCACAAGTAGCAAGAGAGGCCATTTCCCACTAAGGGCAGGTGCGAGTTATAAAACCCATGGTGCTTTCTATTCAGTGTCTCTAGTGTGAGTAGGTGTTCTCGGGGCAATAGCTCTTGATGACCCATGTTTCCCGAAACATGAATGTCCACCACATGGGTCACAGAATAAGAAGCAAGTTGAATCCTGCCCCAGTCCCATGCACCTACTCATTCTTTGTTGGAAATCCCCCAGGCAGTGGAAATAGGAAGAGGCTCATTCAGGTAGGAGAAGACAACAGATCCTAAGAGCAGGCAAGCCAGCAAATCAAACTGCGTGCATCCAATCGACCTCAGAGAGCAGATGGGCTTGTGTCTAGACCTCGTAGGGGAGGGTATGAGCAGAGAGAGAGAGAGAGAGTGACATCCTAACCTGAGCACCATGTTGGGAACAGCTGGCTCACAGCTGGAAGAGCTGCTGCAGATAGACAGTGCTAGATGGTACCTGAGATTGTATCCCACAGCCAGCAGACAGTGAGCAAGAGTGTCCGAGTGCTTTCTTGGCCTTGCTAAGACACTAAAACACACTTTACTCCAACGTTCAAAGCTGCTGATGAATACTTTTCCAAGACAGAAGCATCTGTTCTCTGGTTCCTTGTCTATCCTCAGGACCAAAATTCCCATGCCCTCCAGAGTGGTCTATTTCCTGCGCAACCCTGCCATTCTACCAGGGAGCTCCACCCCTTTGTAAATATGGCATGCCTTATATTCTGAACTCCTGGAAGGCAGTTCTTATTCTCCTCTGTCCCTCACCCAATGCTATCCCTGCTTCTGGGAACATAAGAAATGCTCGATAAATATTTGTTAAACTTAATTGTTGAACTGCAAGAATTCATCTAAAATTAGTAAAGCGAATGACGTGAAACTGAATGGCTGAATGGATAGACAAATGAATGAGTGAGCAAGTAGATGAAGGCTTTGAGAGATGCTATTTCTCTTCAGTACTCTGTTTATAATCCTGCAGAATACTGTTTAGGTAGCAGATTCTCTGTGTCAGGCAGCTATTTGGTTCAAAGGTTAAAGAAATCTCACATCTGAAAAAAGATCAGAGAACCTATGGGTGTTGTTTGACCCTAGATTGTTCTTTCTCTTGTTGATTCTTCTTGTTCTTGTTCTTGTTGTTCTTCTGACACTTGAGCATTCTTGGAGCACATGGAGAGGCTTTGGTTTAAAGAGTCATCTTATGAAGAATCGACATGGAAGGCTGAGTTTTGGTTTAGTTTCTTTTCTCTAGAAACTTCTATGTATGTGTTTGGATGTTTAAAATGAACCCAGCTTGGGGTTCCATTCATTCCTACATAGAGGAGTCATTACTGCTCCTCTCCGGGGCCTCTAGACTTGCACTTCACGTTTGAAGGAAAATGCATTCCTCTGAGGGGAAGACCCACATCCTTCATTCACTGGGAACTAGCTTCAGACTGGTTCAAATCTAGCAATATCCTAGCAGCACTGTGGAGATTCAGCTGGTCCTATTTTTAGGGCTTCAAACTGAAACTTGCATCACAACGGCTTGGAGGACTTCCTCTATGAACACTAAATTTCTAACCAGGGACCACTGGAGGCAGCTCTGAGGTCCCTTATACTGAGAAAGCACCATGTTTGATGCTAAAACATTTTGATATTTGAATCTCTGGGTTAGTGATACAAGTCTAGGGTTTGGGAAGGAGGATTGCCTGAGGGTAAGAAAGGAAGGGAGAGAAAGAGAATAGAAAATGAAACGGCCATAGAAAGGTCAAAGTAATTAGAGGAATTGCCTGATGGCAGGAACCCTGAGCTAGGAGGTGCTTCTATCATGAATAAGCACCAGAAAGCACAGTCCCAGTTTGTATGTGAGTGTGTGTGTATGCACATGTGTGCATACGTGCATGTACACACACACAGCTAACACACGCACACGTATAATCATTTTAGAAAGATCCCAGGAATGTCAAAGTGAAAAACATCCCCAGACCCTGGAGCGCCTTCACCTCTGACAATTTTTTTTCTGTCCCCAGCCTGAGCCCCCCCCACCCCCCCAGGAGAGAAGGTACAACACAGCTGCTGAAAATTGGTAGTTACTGCTGTGTGCTTCTCCACAGTCCCCACTCTGGCTGTCACTGTGACAGCATCTTAGGGTCACATCTGGCTGGTATGGTATCGATGACTTGCAGTGAGGGAGAGGGAGGGAGTGATAAAGGAAGATCAGAAAAGCACACCCGGGCCATCAGCAAAGTAAATTATACTTATCCCCCAATGCTTGCACCTGCCCTCAATGTGATGCTACAGCCAGCTTTCCCACAGCGACTGAAGGCATGCACCAGGAGTCCCAGGATGAGACTATGGGGCCCAGCACCCCACAGTCATGTGGACTATGGCCCACGAGTGGAAACTGCCTATTTGCAGAGAGACCTTTCTGTCCATGGCTCATCAGGACAGACAGTAAATGGTCCTTCATGCAAAGGAGAAGGAAGAGTCAGGGCCACCTAGGAAGATGACCTGCTCTACTAAATAGAAACATTTGCCCAACTATAGAAAATCCAACTTCCTTCTCATCGCCTTTCAAATTATACAAGACCAGGTTCTCATCGAGATCAAGCCTGAAAATGTGTCCCGGTGTTTCATTTTAGTCTGAGGTAGGGATGGATGACATTCAGTGTTGTCCGGTGACAGCACGTCAAGACGATAGCCCTCGGTGCTACTCAGCTCAGAGTCTCATGTATTCTAAGACAGAGCTTCTTTGGCTGAACTGGATCTTACCCATTACCAAATCCTCAGTGCCCAGAACACCCTAGCTTGCAAGGACACTCAGTGAATGTTTGCTAGAAACAAGGTACAGGCAAGCTGCAAGCAGTCACTTAGAGAGAGGTGCAAGCTTCCCAGCAGCCCCGGCTCTGGCATGCTAACAGGATGTCAAGGCTGGGGAGGGAAAGGCTTTGAGTTTACAGGAGATGGCACACCTGGAAAACAGTGGGAAGCCACCTCTCTGTGCAGCACAAAGCTGCCTTGGATTCTGGGAGAAGTTAGCACTTCTCTTGGCCTTGCTTTTCTTTCTGGCAACTGCACACGGGACATTCCTCTGCTTCCCTCTCACTCTTCCTGTTCTAGTTTGCAGACAGGAGCACACAGCCTCTTAGCTGTTTTCACCAGGACTAAATGGATTGGGCTATTTGAGAAACTTGGGGATGATGGTATCTTCAAGACTGGCAGCATGCTTTATTCGCCCAAATTCTGAAGAGCAACACTGGATTCTGGCAAGTCATTTCTCATGCTGAAGTGGAGAACACCACAGAGATGATATTTTCTGTGGGTTTTTTTTCCCTCAAGATAATGGACTCGGCTTTGCCAGAATGAAGATAGCTTAAATATGGTATGTGTATTTACTGGCACTTCAAGAACTCAAAGGTGGCAAAACAGTGATGGACAGCTGGCTCTTGTGAGAGGCATTTTTAAAGTTAAAAGAAACATACTGTAGAAATATACTGTATTCCAAGTGTGGTATTTCTAAATGTGCATCCTACAAGAAGCAGAGCCTCTGGCTGACACTGAGAGAGACTTGGATGGAGTCTAAAATGTCAAGACTAACATGAGAATTAGAATATAGCAGCATGCCACAGGCTGCACAATTCTACACAAAATCAATTTTCTTTATGGTGTCTCCTTTCAGATCAGCCCCGACTTTTCTCTAGGAATTCTGCCTATGGCTCCCTTCTAGGTAAGAGACAGGAAAAGGTTAAGAGCAGAAAGAATTATAGAGCAGGAAGAGGAGCTGGGTCGAGCCCAGCTACGTGTGTAGCCCAGCTCATCTGCATAGCATCGGCTGCACACTAGGGGTCCATACGGTGGTTGGCAAGTTAAGGGTGACCATCACTCAGGTTGGTGGTGGGGGAGACCTTGTGGACATGGACACATTACGCTTTGTTCCTCAGGAAAGCCCTGGAACAAATCAAAGACATTCATCAACCACCCCCTCAGCTTACGTGGGTACGTGCGACCCGATATCACGGAGAGGAAGACGAGGTGTGAAGTGAGGTCTCTGGCCCTCCATTCGCCCACCCTCTGAGTACCCCATCGGCATACCCAGTACAGCACGTCTGTCCAGCCCTCCATGGTGATGCACTGGAACACTGTCAGCATAGCGAAGGCGAAGTTGTCGAAGTTGGTGATGCCATGCTTGGGCCCATCCCACCCGGGCTTGCACACGGTCCCGTTCTGACACTGTCGCCCGTGGCCTGTCTCCAAAGCACAAGGGGAAGGGTCCTCTTCTGCTGGTACATCTCCACCGCCAAGGAAATATGAGATGGAAGAAGAAGGGCGGGGGGAGGGATAACGATGGGCAGAGAATAAAGAAAAGACATTAGAGAAAAAAATAACAGGAGAAGGCCGACGAGTCACCACAGCAGCAACTGCACCCATTTCAGTGAGTGCCCTCACATGGGGATTAAAAACATAAGAGACCAGACTTTCATTTCAGGGGCACACTGACGTCGGTGCGTATTTTCAACCAAATGTTGTGTACACTGCGTTTTAACCACAAACACTAAGGTATTTCGGACACTAAGGTATTGTCCATTCTGTCATTGCATGGCATCACGTCAGAAAGCGATAATGATGCATCCATTTCAAGTGTACGTTGTTCTGGAAAATAAAGACAAAGTAAGGGATTCAGAATCTGTGAGGGCTTTTATCTTGCTGCTATAGAGAGTAGTGGCAATAACAAACAGAAGACCTGAGTTTGAACAAACAATTGCCTCTGACAACTGCGAAAACACAACTCTAGAGAGAGGTTCTTCATTTAGAGATAATAAGATGCCCGGAATCTTCTCTTCTTTTATAAGGATCCAAACCATCACAGAATGACTATTTTGCCCATGGGACACAGGCTCTTTATGGAAGATGACAGGCTAGATGGCTGTCGGTGTCTGTGGCTTCTAATTGAAACTGTTTACTCTCAAGAAAAAAAAGAGAGGCAGAGAAATGTTAACTCTTGACTGTGAGAGGATTTTTAGGAGAATGGAGGTGAGTGCTGTGGTTGAAGGTGTGTGTCAGTATCTTCTTGGGGACAGCAGTGACACCTATCACTTCCTCCCTGTGTCACCCCAAACCAGCCCCTTTGTCTTTGTTTGTAGTCCATTCTTGCTTCTGCCCCTAACTCCTAACAAGCTGGTTTGTTTTCTGTCTTCATAGCTTGCCTTTCCTTTAAGTCTGGCATGGATAAAGTCATAGAAGAAGAGGCTCTTTGTATGCCCATTCCTTCTTCATCGTTCTTTAAGCACAGTGCTTCTGAGTTCAAGCACACTGCTGCGCTTTAGTCCACTCCAATCCTTTGTATTGCTGGACAGTGTATTTCACTGTATGTTTATCCATTCTCCAGATGAAAGACATCTCACTCACTCCCAGGCTTGGGCTGCTCAGAACAAAGCTGCTTCCTGGATTGTTCTCTGCCTGGTGCTATATTCAGTGACCACAGGGACAGGCCAACATTTCTAATCTCTGAGCTATCGGAGGGTACTAAGTATCTATACCATTTCCTTGTCCAAAGTCTGGCTTCTGGTGGCTACATGTTAAGGTAGCTGAACTGAACTGCCCCTAGTTACAACTTTTAAAATTGTCAAATTGTTAGATTTGGATTTAATGCTGTTGAAAGAAGAGAAATGAAAGTTATTTTCTAACCTAAATAATACATTAAAAATAGAAAAGCAAAGCACCTAAAAAATGAGAGTTGAGGAATGGGGAAAACAAGACCAAATAGATCGTTAATTCCTTTCTTACTCTGGAACCAGCTTTCTAGAGTCGGGGGTGTGTGTGGGGGGAACATGAAAAGATAAAGTGAAACCTGCATTTCTCTTGTGTTTATTTGTAGCATAAAGATGTTAGGTATCTATTCACAATGTGGATCCTAGGCCGACAGTCTGCCCTGCGCATTGGTTCCTAAAACAGTAGAAAAAGGGAATGTGGGAGTGGTAGGGGTTGCTGCCAAAGCCAGCTCTGAGTGCTCACAGGGAGGAGAACATATTTGGAGAATTTACAAATATATATTGGAAGAAAATGGCAGGGGCAGTGATCTATCTCATGGATAAAGGGAGCAAAGGCGTGAGCTTTGGAAAGCTCACGCATGGGCTCAAGGGCTGCTGTGCTATTTTAAATCTTCCCTGAACAATAATAAAAAAAAAATCACAGAACAATTAAGAAGCAGCGATGATCCAGTAAAAATAGGTATCTATAAAAAGAAACACTTGAAAAATGTGAACATACAGATCAGCAGGTCCCAGTGACATACACCCCAGGGCAAGAAAAGTATGGCTTAACTATAAAGTTGTGCTGGCTTTCTTCTGCAGGGTCATAAGGTCCTAGGGGAGGAACACAGGAATGTGAGGCAGGAGAAATAAAGCCACGTGGGCTATGCGTTTCAAAACAGAATTGAAGAGAGTAGTCAGTGTGGAAAGATCAAATTAAGTCTTTGGTAAAATAAAGGAGATTTTAGAAATGGACTCAACTTCAGCAAAAAATGGAATCCTGGGGGAGCTGTCAGCAGGGTTCCAAGGAAAGAAAAAAACACCAAGACAACAGCATTTCATTTTTAGGTCTTAACTTGAAGGACAAAATAGAATGGTAGTGATTTCATTGCTAGGTTTAGCCAACCAATTCTGTGCCAGTCTCAGGGGTAATTACCGTGCCGGGGAAGAGCTACTGAATGCCCTGGCTCCAGATTCACTGGACAGATGGGACACCCAGAAACAAAAGCTATCGGCATATGGCAATGTATCTGCTGAGCAACCAGGAGGGGGCCCTGCAGTTAGTTGCCCAAGACATTGGGAGAAAACGGTCTCTTTTGAGACAATCACCATTGGACACTGGACACAGAGAGAGCAGCCTAAATGTAGAACACCAGCTCCCAGGCAGGCCAAAGCTTCCTTGCAGGGATCTTATGAGAAACATGGACTAGAAAGTTTAGAAGAATATAAAATTCAGACTGTGAAAGAATGTCCGAGTTTAAAAGGAAGATAAAATCCTAACAGAGACTCACTGAGCCTTTTGGGAAATGTAAGGGTGGCAGAAAATATGTTCATTGAAGTCTAAAATCTGAACAACAACAAAACAAACTCACAAAAACATTTTTAAAGGTTCTACAAAACTCTAACACATGCTGATGCTGTCTTTGAAGGGGTGTTTTGGACTTCTTTCTAGCCTACGGCTATGAATGTGACCAGATCCCTGGGGATATTAACCCCTGGGAGCCCAATGCTGTTCTTTTGGCAGAATCTACAAGACTGTGGGCTGTGGGCAGACAGTGTGAGGAGGAAGGATGGTGGGCAATTCCACTGCATTGTTCCAGAAGTAAGGCTGCTGCAGCCAGGAATCTCTGGTTTCTTTCCCAATGGTGGCCCTGGCTCCCACTGGAGCCTCATGGTAGCTTTCTGAGGGACATTACTGTTATTGCCTGATACCCTGGCTCATTTGGTTTTCATGCAGGAGAATAACTGGCCTCTGAAGTTGCTGGACAGAGCTAAAAACCCATCACAAAAATGATGGTACTGTGAGAGGACACATGAGATAGTTCAGGTGAGTCTCCTGGTGCTGTTTACTATCTAGGCCAGTATGACTTTCAGTTGACCCCTTCAAAAGTTGAGCCAAGTCTTCCTAAGGGCAGGCAAAGAAGGTCTTTGGTGCTGGTGATGGCTTTTCACAGGGCCTCAGTCTGTACCCTAGGAAGAGATCACTATCTTGTTTTCTTTGTCTGTAATACTCACCATTTTCTAGTCATTTGAGGCTACCCTGTGACTATAGCAGTTATTCAAGGCTGCATTTTGCTCACAGCCTTGCAGGACCCTCACCGGCAGGTGAAGACATACTTCTGCCATGTTCCCTTTAAGATGACAGAGATGACTAACAGTTTTAAGCAGCTCCCCGTGGCTTTGTGGTGCACCAATATTTGATGGCACGGTTGCTGTCTTTGGTTCTATGACAGAAAATTTCCCTATTTCATTGGTGAGTGTCCCGCTATCAGTCACTGCCAAACTGATGGAGAGTCGTTGAGATTCTGTACCTCTGTGATAGGGAGTCTGGGTCCAGTGGGTCGCTTGATAACTGCATAAATTGTTATAGTCATTTCTTAAGGAACTCCAACCCAGCTGCAACCATTAACATAAGTCACTGGTTCAGGGTTAGGGTTAGCTACAGACCAACTGGGTAAGTTATTGGTTTGCTGTTAGCGACAGATCAACTGAGAAAGAGGAAGGGTCTGAATTAAAGGGAGACAATGATCATTATATCGTCTGGGATTCTTTAAGCAAGGTTGAATGTCTCAGGTTTTTACATGAAGGCAAGAACTTGCTCTTCCTATTAAAAATTATGTATCAGATAAGATTTTAAATTGTCACCCAAGTTTTCGCAGTTACAACTCAAATAATTTGAAAGATTTTGAGAGTGAATAATTTATCTTAAGCATCTTTTTTTAAAAAGTAAAAATAAGATGACTCTGTTAATGTAGATTTATAGGCCTTGTTAGTCTTGCTGTGACCTTGTGACTATGACCGAGCCACCTTGCAGAAGTCCCATTAGTCTACCTAGCCACAGCACCTTCTGCATACCAGGTAGTGATGCTGGCTTCTGGGTATGCGTTTTTCATCTCACTGTGTCATAAAGATTGGTGCCACCATCACCCATCAGACCTAACTTGCAGCTTGGGCTACATGGGAAGAACGAAGCCTCCATGTTAGGGCTCCTGACATGGGCTCTCTACTTTCCTCAATAATGCCCAAATGATAATGACATGTCTGATTTTAAAAAATGAAACAATATAATTTAGCACTGACAACAGCTTTGGAATGGGGATTGTTTACCAATGTATGTTTGTATATACATAGGTATATATATGTTATAAGTCTGTTAAAAACCTTATTAGTTTCTGTTTCTTTTTTTTTTTTTTTTTAAGAAAAAGAAAGGTTAATGTGTTCTTTTCCCTTACTTTATGCATTTGTATGTTTTGCTCCCATGTCTGTCTGTGTACCATCGGAGTTCCTGGTGCCCTTGGAGGGCAGAAGAGGTGTATGATCCCCAGGAACTGGAGTTATAGAAGGTTGTGGGCTGGCATGTGGGTGCTGGGAATTGAACCTGGGTCTTCTAAAAGACTCGGTGTTCTTCACTGCTGAGTCACCTCTCTAGCCCCTGCAAGCCACTTAAGAAAGTGCTTAACTAGCCAGCACTACCTGCCAAATTCACTGATTCATGGAAGGAACACAAGGAGGCAGGATTGATGGGCTGGGCGGGCGGCAAGGGGTAGTCAGCGGCAGCCTCTTCATCTGTTCTTGGATGAGGAGGGGCCTTAGGGTTCTGCCTTTGAATGAAGAGGACAACAGTAACTGCAAAGGAGTGAGGGGCAACTCTAAGAGGGTGGAAGGGCGGGTGGTGATTTGGGAGGGTGGTGCAGACTTCCCGAAGGGCTTGGATGCTGAGCCACTTTAGCGGCTCATCAGTTAGCGGTGGCAGCTCACAGAATCTGCATCAAGCGTGAGAGAAACTGATGAAAGACGGCTGCTTGATCCCGCTTCTCCAATTGCACGGCAACCCTCGACGAAGCTTACACCTGCTGTTCGAACGGACATCTGCAGCAGTGAAAGCGGAGACTGAAAACCAGAGGGAAAGAATGCCGACCCCGGCCTTTCGTGTCATCGTGGTCTGAAGTATGAGGAGCTGAATGCCCCATTCGGTTCTGTAGCACAGGTGGCCGCAGCACATCTACTCAAGGGGAAATCAACTATGAGGGGGGCAACAGCCTCCTGATACCTGCTCCGCAGAGCCCCCCAACCCCTCTTACCTATTATGCCCTCCTGGTTGTAGCAGGTCTTGTGCATCTTTCCCATGAAGAGCTCCAGGCCAATAATGGCGTAAATGATGATGACGAAGAGCACAAGCAGGGCGATGTGCAGCAGAGGCACCATGGCCTTGATGATGGAGTTCAGGACCACCTGGAGACCTGCGTGACAAGATCAGCAACAGTGGCAACAACGGAACCTCTGCCTCCTCCTTTGCTGCCTTAGATACCATGCTAACACGACCTCCTGCAATCTTCTTAACGGCTTCAGTGGGAGCGCCGAGTCCCATGTTTTAGACCAGGATACAGAGGCTCAAGGTCACAGCCAATGAGTGACAGAGCAAGAGCCTAAATTCAGGTTGGCTTGACTCCAAATCTGTCCTGGAGGCGCCTCCAAATAAAAGGATCGGCAGCTGCCGTACTGCTAACGGGGAGAACATGTTGTGTTCATCCGTAACTATCAGGATTTTAAATTGCCCATCTCAGAGACACCCTCGTGTGCTTTCTCCTAGAGCAGAGCTCAGCACAATGAGAACTTACTGTGACTACCCACAGCCACACAGGACTTAGTCATCTCTCGGGCTTCTCTGGGGTAGATTTCTAGAGCCGACCATCAGCTCACCTGCTCGGACAGAGCGGAAAGGAATCCAGGAGGGTGCAGTTTCCAGTGGGGAAACTACCTTACGTATCAGGGCCAAGAGTGTAGCTCTAAAGGCACCTTTTAGTAGTAAACCTGGTACTGCACAATTCCTCCAGGGGACAGACACATCGCCTGAATGTCACACCTCAAAAATGCCATAGAGAGGGGCTTCTTATTCAACAGCATGGGCTTCCAGTTTAAAGTTCTGCAGATTAGACGACACTGACCCAAATATACGGAGCCACACTCATAAAGGCAGTTAGAGCAGAAACTTTGTCCTGTAGTTATCACCAAGAAAAAACGAAAAGTACCCAGAGATCACTGGGAGGAAAAGAAGTGAATGGACAGCCCTGTGGGGAACACTCATCTTATCGGGATACCGCAGAGTTAGCAGGCTTGTTCTGCTCTGCCATGGGAGAGAAGGATGGGTATTCAGTGATTGCACTAAGGATGTTCACTAGGACTGACACCAGGCAGGGGCTGCTGTAGAGAGTTCAGGTGATAATGACAGTTCACTCTGAAGGCTAGGGCAGTTTCTGTGAAGAGCTCGTAAACTAGGTGTTCATCCTGGGTGAACACGGTGAAGACAGCCAGGCAGAATATCATCCCTTGGGGCCCTCTAGAACATACACAGGAGAGCAAAGCCACCTACAAGTCCCACGCTGGGCTGGCTCATTTTATGGAGTCTCCCTATCTGTCCTCTCCGACACCAAGGTCTTTCTGTTCTATACTTTCTTTCTGCACTTATCTGTGGCCCCATTTCCTGGATAACCTGGATGGCCACATTTCTAAGCTCCAAAGCACTCACAGCTCTGAACTGTGGCCAGTGGTTTCCACAAGGCTAATTAGAAGAACTCTCCTCGGCTATAAAGCCAAGCTGGGGAAAAGGGAAAAAAAATAAAAAAATAAAAAAAGAAAGCTGGAATAATTTTACCTGTGAATTAATGTGAGCACTTTGCAGGCTCCCATTAGAGCAAGATGTTTTCAGATCCAAATGACTCCATTAATTAGCAAGTTGTACACACATTAGTGTTAAAGTCTCCTAAGCCATGAAGAAAGTTGCGCTCCAAAGTAACTCTCAGAAGAAGCTGATAGGCGCTGAGGAGCCTTCGAAGTTCCCCCCCCACAGAGGCTGGGAGCTCCATATCTGGCTGCCAGGCCACCAGGGAGATATCGGGCCTCTAGTACCAGCAGCTTCCTGTGCCAAGAAACAGTCAGGACAGACTTAGGAGGAGCTGTGATCTGGACTGACGCCAGACAGGCCACCCAGAGCCGCTCTGAAACCTTTAGTGCCTCTTAGGAGAGAGACCAGGATTTCTTAGTGACCTGCAAAGCCCTGCAGGGCCCATCCCCTCCCCCTCCCCCTACAGTCCCAGCCCTATCCCTCTCTCTGGAATCCAATCAAACCAGCATTTTTCTTAGATTGAGAGCTCCCTCAGGCTTGGGCTCAGAGCATTCGGTACCAGGGGATTATAATGGAGCTAAAGATGCCTACTGCTGATTTGACCTTATGACTGTCATAACATCACTGCCCAAGACACGGATCACTCATGACTGTGGTGCTTCCTATGACAATCAAAGCATGACAGATAGCTATGGACCCTGTATGTAATATTTAAAGACGAGAGTGGATGGCTGTGAGAGAGACTACCTGATGTTTTGATTGCACTGCCAGAGTCTGATCCCTGGGAGTCACATGGTGGGAGAAGAGAACGGATACTCACAAGTTGCTCTCTGACGTCCAGAGGGGTGCGGTGGTGTGCACGCGTCACCTTGTGTACATTTCTCAGATACAGTATCGTTAAGGATGGCGCGGCTATATCCCTACCCCACGGCGCATCCACAGGGACCGTTCCTTCCTCCCAGAATGCCTCATCTGTATTTTCTCCAGCACTACTTCTTCAGCTCTCAGCCCAAGCTTCTCCCCTCCAAACCCGTGACCAGAGTCATTTCCTCTGATACGTGCCCTCTTAGAATCATTTGCTTTCCCAGGTAACATCCTGTTTGAATTGTACGTTTTAAAATTGTATGTGTATTAAAGGGATTTAAAAACGTTTATATCCGCCTTCCCAGTTAGGTGGCCTTTTGTGATGATAGACTGTGCCCGATCTTCCCATCACCAAGGCCTGTCTGCGAAGCTTATCCCCCGAGGACTTGGTAAACATTCGCCGACAGCAAGAGAAGTGTGTGGCTGAAGCACAGGGCCGGGTTCTACAGGAACGGAGTCTATAGTTGGTGGAGGACGACGGACAGGTGACTGCAGGAACCACAGGGCATCAACAGGCTAGGAAGATACCAACCGCAAGTCATAGCGGTCCATGGCTACACTGAGCCGCCAGCAATGCCAATGCTGCACCCTGTGTTTCTTCTGCCCCTACCTCTGTGGTGGACATACAGCCGCCCTGAGCACCCGGTGCCCACGAGGGACACTCTCCCGTCAACCAGTTTCCAAACTCTGCTAGCTTGGCTTTGAACTATTAATAGATATGCATAAATTATTTTACTATATAAATAGCATGTGCTAATTACAGAGAAAACAGAAAATACTTATGAAAGAGAAACTGGAAAAGGTAGTTGGGGGAGGTACTGTCGCTCACTGTCTGACCCTCACACAGATAACGCCAGTCAGCTTTTCGTGAATGTTTATGGGACTTCAGCCCTTGAGTCCCTCTATCACTCCCTCCTTCCTGCTTCACTGTCCTCTCAGATGTTCAGTTAGCCAGCCTTCCAACTCACCTGCCTTCCCTGCCCTTATGCAGCGCTTGGATCACTCTGATCAAAGGACACACTGAAACACGCCACTTCGGAAAGTGCGCTAGCTAGGCCGTCCTTTACAGATCGAGGTTCAGCCCCTCCTTTGCTGTTTTGGCTTCTATGGTTCCTAGTTTCTCCTTACACTCCAGCAGCATGCCCGGCCATCTGGAGGTCCCTGGCTTCCAGCCTCCCTATTTCAGTGGACACTGCTTCTCCGCCTGCCCTCTCCAGAGCTCCTGGAGTCTCAGCACGTCTTCTCATCTCTGTTTTCAGGCGTGTAGCGGAACTCAGAGATTGAAATAAACCTAAGCACGGCGGGTGTGCAGAAAGCAAAGGCACGGCAGCCCAGGGGTCAGCAAGCACACCAGCCAGCGCTACAATCATTCAGAACACCAAAAGCGTTGCATCAGCAGAGAAGACTCGTGGGACGAGATGAGAACATGGGGGTCGAGGGCTTATTGCTATCAATGATTTTCCCACGACTTAAGTTGCTGTTTCGAGGATGGTGGGGATAATTATTTTGGAACGACTGCAGGATGGAAGTAGGATCAGCTAGGAAGTATCCAGTAATAAACAGAGTCTGTCCAAGAACATGCCCGTGTTCAGGTGGCATGCGGCAATGTGCTCACTGTCCTCAGAAACACCCACTGACTGACTGACTGAGCTCTTGAGAAAGGCCTTGGGGGGACTGCAAAGACTGGGTGAAGGATTCTACTGAGGCATGAAAGCCCTGCAACCCCATAATTCTTATCCTGAGGACACCCCAGCTGAGGTGCAGCTGAAATCATTCTACTTGATTTGTCCTATTTCCTTCTGGTCACAGCTTGGAGAACCAGATGCTATAACCCATAGCTGAAAAAGTGATAGAGAGAGGGGAAGTGACCTGCTTCCAGGGCATGCTGGCGAGTGTCCCACTGTTGGCCACTGCCAAACTGATGGGGAATCACTGAGATTCTGCACCTTTGCAATAGTGAAGAGTCTGAGTCAGTGAGTCAGAGCTAATGGATGGTGGCACTGGGAACAGAAGACAATTCTGATTTTGCATTTCTAACCAAGTTCCCACAGACACCAATGCTACTTGCTGGTCCAGCCTCCACTTTGCAAGGCACAGCCCTGGAGCACCTGGTCAGCCGGGACCCATAGCAACTGCATCCACAGCCTTCCTGGGATGCTCTAAAGCAGTTTCAACAATGTGGCAGGTAGGAGTTGATTCTAGCAATAGCACACTTTCAGGAATTTGTCATTAGTGAGGCATGAAATGTCCATGCTGGATACTGAAAAACACACCGCTAGCCTGACTATACTATAGACTTGCTTATTATGTTTTTTTTGTTTGTTTTGTTTTGTTTTTTACTTATTTTTGAACATATGAGTACTACAGAGGATGACACAGGAAGACATATTTCTATATCATACATCCCAGGAGCATAAGTGAAGGGCACTGGGGTCGCTACTTCCAGGAGCAATAAAAGCCATTCAGCAAGGTTATGGATGAGACCAGTGCCTCATCCAGTATGAAAGGCATGAGATGCTTAATGTATTTTTTTTTTCTGGCAGTGGCCTTTACCATTATCACTCCTGCCTCATCATCATGCTCAGGGCTACCTATCACCTCTCACCAGCCAGTCTAGGCCTATGCCTCCACCGTTTCCTTGCCTACTTGTTCATGATTAAACCTTCTCTTAAAAAATTATTCTTATCCTGTCTCCTCCACAATTGTAGCTTTAATTCTGTTTGACCTAAATAATTAACTCTTCTCCTTTAATCC